GTGGGGGGGGTAATCAAAGGACAGACCTTTAGTCAGGGGAGGAGGAGAACTTGATTTCCTAGCTGGACCAGCCAGCTTAGTTGGAGAAGAGCTTGTTTTGCCTCTGGCTCTGGAGGGAGGAGCTGAAGTCGAAATCAAACATCCCTTCTCTCTGCTGAGAGCTCCGCTGGTCAGAGGAGTGCTTGTTTCATCAGCCAGGGCCTCCTGATCTTCAGAGGGTAGAAGGACGGGAGGTGTTTGGACATCCAGCTGCTCCTCAGCAGGAGGCTCTGAGCTGGACTGTGCACTCGTTGTTTTGACCTCCTGGGAAGGGTGGAGCTGTGTGGACTCCTCTTGCTCCTCCTCAGCTGACATCACAGCTGCTCCTTTCTCCTCCTCCTCTTCATCACGAGGAGGTGTGGAGGAGGAGCAGGGAGTCTCTGGGTTCTTCGTCACATCTTTCTCCTCCTCTTCATCACGAGGAGGTGTGGAGGAGAAGCAGGGATTGTCTGTCTGTTCCTCCTCTTCCTGCCTCCTCTTCAGTTCCTCAGTGCTGCTCCCCATCTGTTCATCTCCATCTTCTTGCTGCTCCTTCACCTCCTGCCCCTCTTCTGTTCGGCCTGTGTCCAGAACACTGAGAGAGTCGTGGTCTGAGGGAGGAGCAGAGGAACACAGAGGAGGAGGAGCAGTAGATAGGAGGAGGAGGAGGAGGAGGAGGGAGAGAGAGGAGGAGGAGCAGGAAGAGAGAGGAGGAGGAGGAGGGAGAGGAGGAGGGAGAGAGAGGAGGAGGAGCAGGAAGAGAGAGGGGGAGGAGGAGAAAGGAGGAGGAGGAGCAGGAGATAGGAGGAGGAGGAGGGAGAGAGGAGGAGGAGGAGGGAGAGAGGAGGAGGAGGAGGGAGAGAGGAGGAGGAGGAGGGAGAGAGGAGGAGGAGGAGGGAGAGAGGAGGAGGAGGAGGGAGAGAGGAGGAGGAGGAGGGAGAGAGGAGGAGGAGGAGGGAGAGAGGAGGAGGAGGAGGGAGAGAGGAGGAGGAGGAGGGAGAGAGGAGGAGGAGGAGGGAGAGAGGAGGAGGAGGAGGGAGAGAGGAGGAGGAGGAGGGAGAGAGGAGGAGGAGGAGGGAGAGAGGAGGAGGAGGAGGGAGAGAGGAGGAGGAGGAGGGAGAGAGGAGGAGGAGGAGGGAGAGAGGAGGAGGAGGAGGGAGAGAGGAGGAGGAGGAGGGAGAGAGGAGGAGGAGGAGGGAGAGAGGAGGAGGAGGAGGGAGAGAGGAGGAGGAGGAGGGAGAGAGGAGGAGGAGGAGGGAGAGAGGAGGAGGAGGAGGGAGAGAGGAGGAGGAGGAGGGAGAGAGGAGGAGGAGGAGGGAGAGAGGAGGAGGAGGAGGGAGAGAGGAGGAGGAGGAGGGAGAGAGGAGGAGGAGGAGGGAGAGAGGAGGAGGAGGAGGGAGAGAGGAGGAGGAGGAGGGAGAGAGGAGGAGGAGGAGGGAGAGAGGAGGAGGAGGAGGGAGAGAGGAGGAGGAGGAGGGAGAGAGGAGGAGGAGGAGGGAGAGAGGAGGAGGAGGAGGGAGAGAGGAGGAGGAGGAGGGAGAGAGGAGGAGGAGGAGGGAGAGAGGAGGAGGAGGAGGGAGAGAGGAGGAGGAGGAGGGAGAGAGGAGGAGGAGGAGGGAGAGAGGAGGAGGAGGAGGGAGAGAGGAGGAGGAGGAGGGAGAGAGGAGGAGGAGGAGGGAGAGAGGAGGAGGAGGAGGGAGAGAGGAGGAGGAGGAGGGAGAGAGGAGGAGGAGGAGGGAGAGAGGAGGAGGAGGAGGGAGAGAGGAGGAGGAGGAGGGAGAGAGGAGGAGGAGGAGGGAGAGAGGAGGAGGAGGAGGGAGAGAGGAGGAGGAGGAGGGAGAGAGGAGGAGGAGGAGGGAGAGAGGAGGAGGAGGAGGGAGAGAGGAGGAGGAGGAGGGAGAGAGGAGGAGGAGGAGGGAGAGAGGAGGAGGAGGAGGGAGAGAGGAGGAGGAGGAGGGAGAGAGGAGGAGGAGGAGGGAGAGAGGAGGAGGAGGAGGGAGAGAGGAGGAGGAGGAGGGAGAGAGGAGGAGGAGGAGGGAGAGAGGAGGAGGAGGAGGGAGAGAGGAGGAGGAGGAGGGAGAGAGGAGGAGGAGGAGGGAGAGAGGAGGAGGAGGAGGGAGAGAGGAGGAGGAGGAGGGAGAGAGGAGGAGGAGGAGGGAGAGAGGAGGAGGAGGAGGGAGAGAGGAGGAGGAGGAGGGAGAGAGGAGGAGGAGGAGGGAGAGAGGAGGAGGAGGAGGGAGAGAGGAGGAGGAGGAGGGAGAGAGGAGGAGGAGGAGGGAGAGAGGAGGAGGAGGAGGGAGAGAGGAGGAGGAGGAGGGAGAGAGGAGGAGGAGGAGGGAGAGAGGAGGAGGAGGAGGGAGAGAGGAGGAGGAGGAGGGAGAGAGGAGGAGGAGGAGGGAGAGAGGAGGAGGAGGAGGGAGAGAGGAGGAGGAGGAGGGAGAGAGGAGGAGGAGGAGGGAGAGGAGGAGGAGGAGGAGGAGGAGGAGGAGGAGATGACAGGACGTCACAGATGAAAACAAATTCTGGATGAAGACAGAACAATGAGGTTCATATGAAGAAACATGAGGAGCTCTGGAACCAAGACCTGGTCCACCTGATCCAGGTCCTGCTCACACTCAGAACCCTGACATGGTGATCTTTGAGGTGTTGTCTTCTTCTCTGCTGTTGTCGGTGTGTTACCATGACAACACAACACAACAGCGTTCATTGAGCTGGACCAGGTGGACCAAAGACCCTCACGGTCATGTGACTTTGAAGGTGTGAAATGGACTTCGGCTGTTAAGCCAATCAGATGTCAGAAACTGAACCCTCTCAGCTGCTACTGCAGTACACTGTGACATCACTGCTGTGGCTGTGGTAAGTCTAAAAGATGGCTGCCATGGCGCCACCATGTGGTGATCAATCAACAGACTATATCAGCAGCCGTGACGTGTCAAAGAAAACTCCAGTGGATGATGCTGAAGAGACCGATATAGGCCACGCCCATTTGCGTCAGAAAAATGTTCCCGCCATTTTGAATTGTGTGTGTGTGACAGGAGAACGTGTGTGTGTGTGTGTGTGTGTGACAGGAGAACGTGTGTGTGTGTGTGTGTGTGTGTGTGTGACAGGAGAACATGTGTGTGGCAGGAGAACATGTGTGTGTGTGTGTGTGTGTATGTGTGTGTGTGTGTGTGTGTGTGTGTGTGTGTGACAGGAGAACATGTGTGTGTGTGTGTGTGACAGGAGAACGTGTGTGTGTGGCAGGAGAACATGTGTGTGTGTGTGTGTGACAGGAGAACATGTGTGTGTGTGTGTGACAGGAGAACATGTGTGTGGCAGGAGAACATGTGTGTGTGTGTGTGTGTGTGTGTGTGAGGGGAACATGTGTGTGTGTGTGTGTGTGACAGGAGAAC